AGGGGCTGTGGACCACGGTGGGGGGCTGCCACAGAGGGCTGCGTTTCAGGCTGTTCTCCAGCTGCCCTGCCCCCGAGAGGGCTGCGCCTTGGGCGTGTTTCTCACCAGCACTTTTTGCTTTCCTCTGCAGCTAACCCGTTCAGCGAAGACCCCAGTCAGCTGCCCCCGAAGGACGGCCCAGTGCCTCCAGGATATCAGGGCTATGGACAGTATCAATGAAGCTGCTTACTTTTAGGGTGCTGCAGCTAATAATTCAGGGGGCCTCCCCTTGTTGGAATCATCCTGAACACCAACCACTTGTCCCTCCAGTTCTTGGATTCTCCCCCGGAGACAATGCTGTCAGGGCCTGATTCCCTGGGAATCCTTCTAAGTTTCCTGCTACTTTGGGGGGTACGGGGGATAGGGCCTACAGCTGTACATGCAGGTGGTGCTGATGGCATGACAAAACAGGGTGTCCCCCATCTTGACCGGCTGTGCTCTCTGAAAAAGGGGGTTAATGGCCCATTTACATAACCCCTGAGCCCTGCTGGTCCCCCCACCAGAGGGGAAACTGTCTTGGCATATCTCTCCCCCCCCCCGCAGCTGGGACGGTAGGTCCCCAAACTGCCCACTCTGAGCCGCAATCTCGCCTCCTTTCGGATATTTGTATTTAAAGACGTTTCGAAGAGTGTTGCAGGTTTCGTTTTTCCAGGTGCAAAATAGAGCAAGTACTTTACCATGGAGCAGTGCATTGTGGGAAGGGCCCCTGGGATGGGGGGGGAGCAGTGCATTGTGGGAAGGGCCCCTGGGATGGGGGGGGAGCAGTGCATTGTGGGAAGGGCCCCTGGGATGGGGGGGGAGCAGTGCATTGTGGGAAGGGCCCCTGGGATGGGGGGGGAGCAGTGCATTGTGGGAAGGGCCCCTGGGATGGGGGGGGAGCAGTGCATTGTGGGAAGGGCCCCTGGGATGGGGGGGGAGCAGTGCATTGTGGGAAGGGCCCCTGGGATGGGGGGGGAGCAGTGCATTGTGGGAAGGGCCCCTGGGATGGGGGGGGAGCAGTGCATTGTGGGAAGGGCCCCTGGGATGGGGGGGGAGCAGTGCATTGTGGGAAGGGCCCCTGGGATGGGGGGGGAGCAGTGCATTGTGGGAAGGGCCCCTGGGATGGGGGGGGAGCAGTGCATTGTGGGAAGGGCCCCTGGGATGGGGGGGGAGCAGTGCATTGTGGGAAGGGCCCCTGGGATGGGGGGGGAGCAGTGCATTGTGGGAAGGGCCCCTGGGATGGGGGGGGAGCAGTGCATTGTGGGAAGGGCCCCTGGGATGGGGGGGGAGCAGTGCATTGTGGGAAGGGCCCCTGGGATGGGGGGGGAGCAGTGCATTGTGGGAAGGGCCCCTGGGATGGGGGGGGAGCAGTGCATTGTGGGAAGGGCCCCTGGGATGGGGGGGGAGCAGTGCATTGTGGGAAGGGCCCCTGGGATGGGGGGGGAGCAGTGCATTGTGGGAAGGGCCCCTGGGATGGGGGGGGAGCAGTGCATTGTGGGAAGGGCCCCTGGGATGGGGGGGGAGCAGTGCATTGTGGGAAGGGCCCCTGGGATGGGGGGGGAGCAGTGCATTGTGGGAAGGGCCCCTGGGATGGGGGGGGAGCAGTGCATTGTGGGAAGGGCCCCTGGGATGGGGGGGGAGCAGTGCATTGTGGGAAGGGCCCCTGGGATGGGGGGGGAGCAGTGCATTGTGGGAAGGGCCCCTGGGATGGGGGGGGAGCAGTGCATTGTGGGAAGGGCCCCTGGGATGGGGGGGGAGCAGTGCATTGTGGGAAGGGCCCCTGGGATGGGGGGGGAGCAGTGCATTGTGGGAAGGGCCCCTGGGATGGGGGGGGAGCAGTGCATTGTGGGAAGGGCCCCTGGGATGGGGGGGGAGCAGTGCATTGTGGGAAGGGCCCCTGGGATGGGGGGGGAGCAGTGCATTGTGGGAAGGGCCCCTGGGATGGGGGGGGAGCAGTGCATTGTGGGAAGGGCCCCTGGGATGGGGGGGGAGCAGTGCATTGTGGGAAGGGCCCCTGGGATGGGGGGGGAGCAGTGCATTGTGGGAAGGGCCCCTGGGATGGGGGGGGAGCAGTGCATTGTGGGAAGGGCCCCTGGGATGGGGGGGGAGCAGTGCATTGTGGGAAGGGCCCCTGGGATGGGGGGGGAGCAGTGCATTGTGGGAAGGGCCCCTGGGATGGGGGGGGAGCAGTGCATTGTGGGAAGGGCCCCTGGGATGGGGGGGGAGCAGTGCATTGTGGGAAGGGCCCCTGGGATGGGGGGGGAGCAGTGCATTGTGGGAAGGGCCCCTGGGATGGGGGGGGAGCAGTGCATTGTGGGAAGGGCCCCTGGGATGGGGGGGGAGCAGTGCATTGTGGGAAGGGCCCCTGGGATGGGGGGGGAGCAGTGCATTGTGGGAAGGGCCCCTGGGATGGGGGGGGAGCAGTGCATTGTGGGAAGGGCCCCTGGGATGGGGGGGGAGCAGTGCATTGTGGGAAGGGCCCCTGGGATGGGGGGGGAGCAGTGCATTGTGGGAAGGGCCCCTGGGATGGGGGGGGAGCAGTGCATTGTGGGAAGGGCCCCTGGGATGGGGGGGGAGCAGTGCATTGTGGGAAGGGCCCCTGGGATGGGGGGGGAGCAGTGCATTGTGGGAAGGGCCCCTGGGATGGGGGGGGAGCAGTGCATTGTGGGAAGGGCCCCTGGGATGGGGGGGGAGCAGTGCATTGTGGGAAGGGCCCCTGGGATGGGGGGGGAGCAGTGCATTGTGGGAAGGGCCCCTGGGATGGGGGGGGAGCAGTGCATTGTGGGAAGGGCCCCTGGGATGGGGGGGGAGCAGTGCATTGTGGGAAGGGCCCCTGGGATGGGGGGGGAGCAGTGCATTGTGGGAAGGGCCCCTGGGATGGGGGGGGAGCAGTGCATTGTGGGAAGGGCCCCTGGGATGGGGGGGGAGCAGTGCATTGTGGGAAGGGCCCCTGGGATGGGGGGGGAGCAGTGCATTGTGGGAAGGGCCCCTGGGATGGGGGGGGAGCAGTGCATTGTGGGAAGGGCCCCTGGGATGGGGGGGGAGCAGTGCATTGTGGGAAGGGCCCCTGGGATGGGGGGGGAGCAGTGCATTGTGGGAAGGGCCCCTGGGATGGGGGGGGAGCAGTGCATTGTGGGAAGGGCCCCTGGGATGGGGGGGGAGCAGTGCATTGTGGGAAGGGCCCCTGGGATGGGGGGGGAGCAGTGCATTGTGGGAAGGGCCCCTGGGATGGGGGGGGAGCAGTGCATTGTGGGAAGGGCCCCTGGGATGGGGGGGGAGCAGTGCATTGTGGGAAGGGCCCCTGGGATGGGGGGGGAGCAGTGCATGGTGTGTGTGTGGGGGGGTCCCTTCCGCAATAGGAGGGTGTTGCATTCTGAGACTTCCCCCCCTCGCATGCTACAGTGTGCTAGGATGCTGTGGCCATGGGCCGGGCCTGGGAGGGGCAGCAGTGCATTGTGGGACGGTGCTCCCCCAGTAGCCCACAGTGCACTGGGGGTCCTGCAGTGGATGGGGTGAGGAGCGGGGCAGTATGGGACAGGGCACCGTGCCGCCCCCGTAGCCCACAGCGCCAGGTGCCCCTTGCGGGGGTGGGGGGCTATTGCAGCAAATGCCCAGCGGCGCCAGCCAGGGCTCGTTTCCAGCTCGAGGCGAGCCCAGCATGGACCAGTACAGCATCCTGGGCCGCATTGGGGAAGGCGCCCACGGCATCGTCTTCAGAGCCAAGCACATCGAAGTGAGAGCGGGGCAAGCAGCTCAGATCTCCGGGCGGGAGCCGGGACCCCTGGCTTCTTCCCCCGGCTCTGGGAGGGGAGTGGGGCCTAGTGATTAAAGGGAGGGGGGCTGGGAGCCAGGACTCCTGCGTCTCTTCCAACTGCATCCCTTCTCGGCAGACGGGGGAGACCGTGGCGCTGAAGAAGGTTGCTCTGCGGAGGCTGGAGGACGGGATCCCGAACCAGGCGCTGCGGGAGATCAAAGCCTTACAAGAGATCGAGGAGAATCCGCACGTGAGTCGGCGTGGGCTCTGGTGGGTTAGAACAGGGGCCTGGGAGCCAGGTCTCCTGGGGTCTCTCCCGGCTCTGGAGGGTGAGGGGAACCCTTGGGGTCCCTTTCGGCCCTACAGCGCTGGGGTTTTGTGATGGCAAAGCCAGGGTGCTGGGGTCAGAAAGAGGCTAGATGCTATTTCCACACCCCGTCTGCTGCCTGCCCCGCAGCTTCCCTCTTCTGTGTGCGGGCTGCTGCTTCCCCTGTTCCTTTCCTCCTTTGCTGTTCTCTCTTGCTGCTC